CTGAAAAATGTGAAATTGATGAACGTTACGTTAGCGTTTTAGCTGCTCTAATAGAAAACTATTTGCCTAATTCTGCTTCAAAACAGGTTGAAGACTCGGAAGAGAATGTTTTTAAACCTTACACACGCATCATTGATTATTAAAATAAAATCATAGATTAAACTACCTCGTATAATGGAAACCCTGAATGTTAGTGAAATAAGAACTTGAAATAAGAAAGTAATCTGCTTTCAACGGATAATAAATTAATTATGACTAATGGCTAATCTAGTTTGGTTGTTTTTAGTTTAAATATTGTATTTTTCTCATGGTATATGCCTATGTTCCCAACTTCTCATTCGTCAAGTTCAAAACGCTCAAACTCTGCAGCCTACAGAGATGACGTAGCGTCAACTTCAACTTTCCTTTTTGGAACTGTTCCACATTACTTAATGGAATGCGGCTGGCGGAGTGGCGATGTCTGCCGGTGGAAAACGAAGGTTCTTTATAGTGTGTTTACAAAACAAATGTGTGAATGTTCCAATTGCTTCATTGCATTGGCATTCTAAATACTTTTGGGTAAATCCTACTAAATTCTCCCTTTCGAAACAATGTTGAGTCTTCACGAATCCAAAATAACCTGGCTGGGTGTCACCTCGACCACAATACCTATCACTCCATTTGCTGCTTCTATTGGTCGTATCACGCGATCCGAGCACGATTCAATTATGATGACGTCACGACCAGTGGCAACTCGCTGATCACGACTGGGAGAAAGGTCAATCAGAACGAGAGTGATCGACATCAAGTTAGGTTTGGTGGGACTGCGTTTAATCTAGAGTAAGTGATGTCATGCTATACGCACTATACTACTGTGTGTGCCACTGTGCACCACACTGCTGTGCAATAGACTTCTGTGCAAGTGCAACACACAACTGTGCACCACAAATTTCTATACGTGCACACAAGTATGGTGAAAATTATGCCCTTTACTTCCTTACTCTTGTATGAACCATTACTACTAGGGTTTAGCCAATGCATTAGTTCATAAATCAAAAAGACATTCACATTAAGCAAGCCATACTGGTGAAAAGCTGGCCATACCGGTACATCAGAAGGTTGCCGTTTCGATCCCACTAAAAGTCATTAGCTTTTCGATAGTTCAACACTGGGTCACTGGGTCCAGCTGTCTTTGCCGAATAGTACTGAGGAACAAGTTTGTTCCAGTCAGTAACAAAGCTGTCAAATCAAACATTACACACATCGACACATACTTCACCTTAAATTGCAAATCGATGCGAGAGATGTAGTATCATCTGATCCATTTGCAATCTGGTCGGATTGACGAAATTGAAAGCTAACAAATATATATGAGTCACGCCAGATTCTACAAGGAATTCCTCCGATCGAAAGTCTCTGTTACGGAGCCGCGCCTATTTCCATAGATTTCACCATCTGCAGCTGGTGTCTGCAGGACCGGTCTGAGGTCTGATGACCTATGGCCATGACCGACGACTGTGTGGGGTGGGGGGCCAGGTATAGGATGACTCATACATACCTTCGCCCATTGCATGCCGCCAATTGTCGCCATCGAACATGTTCAATTAGAGAATATTCCATATAATAAGTTTTTGTAGGTCTCATGGTAAAACCTAAGGCCCCGTTTATGCACCAAGAGCGGGAGCGGGGCGATAGCGGGCCCGCTCCCGCTGTGAATGGGGCTGTTTATGCACGAAGAGCGATAGCGGTAGCGGTTGGTTAAAGGAGAATAGAAGGGGGACACAGTCTTGCCAACTCAAACTCTGCCAAATAATTAACACAACTATTTGTCCTAAGTGCACTTGCGCGTGGGTCAAGTTGGCAACCCTGGCTTCAGCCGCTTCCGCTCCCGCCGTGCATAAACAGTCCCATTTGACTCAATGTCGTTGAAAACCGCTATATCCCAAGCAACCGCTGCGATTTGTAACTACACAGCGTGCGAATTAGAAACCGCAGCGGGAGGTCAACCGCTATCGCTATCGCTCTTGGTGCATAAACAGCCCCATTTAACTCAATGGTGTTAGAAATCGCTCCCGCTGTCGCTACCGCTCCCGCTCTTGGTGCATAAACGGGGCCTAAGCTCAGGACTGATTTGCTTTTTCTTTTTACAGACCAAACACGCCATCAAATTCGTATGTATAAACATGTATGTAGGAGATTATTACAATGCTATTATTCTAGAAGTGGGTAAAATTTTGTATACCCTCAGAGTAATAATACATAATTTTGTATTATACTGTATTTTGTACTTTTTTATGTATTTTGTAATTTAATGTTTTATTACTCTGAGGTGTACCTGACCAGTGAGTCAGTGAGTTACACATGCGGTGTATATAATAACAGAGAATAGACTATTGGTGTTCTATTGTCCGTGACTGATAATGCAGATAAAGTGTGTGCCTAATCAGCTTGTGTAATGCCAATAGGCTCACCCGATTGCCCAAGACATGCTGTCTATCATGCCAAATTTATAGTTTACAAAATATCACATTAATGCCACAAACGCAATCCACGAAACAAGTAATTTGTCGAGTAAAACTTTGTAAACTACACATTAGTTGGAAAGTTTGCAAATAAGGTTCAACAAAAATACTTTACTCAAACAAAACAGATTTATCATCCTAATATTTTGCATATGTAACTATATCAACATTTTAGAAATAAGCATGGGAATTGGTGTTTGAATGAAAGTGCTTAGATCTGTTATCCACAGTCAAGACCTAACCCAGTGTTGGTTCCAAGGGGGGGAGGGGCTACAGGGGCTGAATAAAGTACCATACGGTTTTTAGGAGGATATGGCCGTAGCTTACAGTATGGTTACAAATTTATGAATACAATCGTCATAGTTTAAATTTGCAAATGTCTACTTGCTTATGGAAATAAAAAAAAACAGGTTAAATGGGAGTTTTTTTACGATTGGAGACAGTTTTAGGCGTTAAAAATTGCTTTAGAAAGTTACTTTAACTACTTTAAAATATAAAATATTTTCCGGGGGAGGACCGCCAGACCTCCTTCTTATATTGGGGGTGTTCCAAGCCACCCGGGAGCCCCCCGTGACAAGATCCTAGAACCGCCACTGACCTGACCCCCCCCCCCCCCCCGAAAGTCTGTCCTGGCTACGGCCATAGATAAATCATACTCCCTTTGTGTTGCTTAGTCTATGCTACGGCCTTGTATGTGGTTAATTAAGGGGGTTCAAAAATATATGACAACGACAAATTATATTCACATTTTTTATTAGGGTTCAATACTTGTTTTTGAGGCAAAACGAATCTAATGTAACACATTTTGATCTTTAAAATATTATGGTTGTTTGAGATAGTTATTAGGTGAATAAAACTACTGATTTACAGTACACAAGTTAAATTTGTTGATTTTAGATATACTCCATAAAGAGTAATTTAGCTAACTGAAACAGGTGGCAGTTGCCGCAACAAAACAGATTTTCATTTGTCTGATTGGATTTTCACCTAAATCCATTTAAATATCACCTGTTGCTCGAATTCGAGCAATTGCGAAGTATTACAGGCGTTTTTTTTTTTTTTTAACTAATAACAGTAATAATTTCCGATGACTTTAAGATCGACTTTAAGATTATGGAAATACTCACGATGTAGCCTACATAAACAGTTCGATATAATCAAAATTTCTTGCAAATATCTAATCATTTTTCAAAAGCTGACCTTGTTTTTTAGTGTTTTCTACAAAATATTTCCCACTCATAGCCGCAATAGGTTGTCCTTATTAACGATTATAAATTATAAAAAATATTTCTTTTTTCTTCTACTTAGTGGTGTTATATGACTTTCCTATGTTTTCCTTTGTTTGCAAATCGGCTCTTTCAATGATTGTTCAAGAAATGCAGCACAGTTTTAATTCAGCTTTCTTTTTAGTACCTATATCAAAGCCACCTATGTCCAAGCTTTCTCGGTTGTTTCCATTGTAATATTTACGCTAACCCAAATTCAAATAGTAAATATTTCATTTAACCAAGTCAGTAAATGTTTGTAGCACACGTTTCCCTTAATTGCAACTAAAATATTAACAGCCATTAAGTTATCCAGCTGATCATAATGTAAATAATGTACATACCATGTCAATGTGCCACCCTGTCAGCGTAGGGTGACAGCCCCGACAAGCAGACAGGACGACAACCCACACCCACGCACGCTTGCGACAAGACGAGGCGCCTTCCCGACAATCTGCCATTACGACATTTTCGAGTGGAGAGTTGTCGTGTTTGTCCCCATCAACCTGCTATCACATCACACACACAGGTGACAAGGTGCCAACCCGACAGTGTGCTTCCATGATAACTCACCACAACACACGGTAAAGACCAATTCCATCCTGTCAAACTGTCACTAAAATGTTTGAGGTGGTGGTGGTGAGTTAAAACACAGCCACCTCTAGTTAAAACCAATGGTGATGAGTTACCAATTCTGTGAGACAGACAGTAGACAGTGGTGCACACTTAGGAGGCTGAAGAAGAATGAATGCAAGCATATCCTCCTCGAATACAAGGCCGCGGCATTGGTGTGTGGCATTGTCGTAACGGCATGTAATAACAGAAATGACAAGGTGTAAACAAGCGTTTTCGGTTTGCCGGGGCAGCGGTATTGTCACTGTTGTCTCGCCGCGGCCTTGTATTAGAGGAGGCTATGCAGGGAAGTGTATAGGAATTGAGCGAGAGTGAGATATTCTAATCTTTCTTCCAATTTCCTGTTCGACTGTCCCTCCCTTAGTCCCTAGTCCCTCCCCCATCTAGTCATCTAGTCCTTATGGGCTGGCTCGCTGGCTGGAATAAAATCGAAAATCGAATAGCCAATGTACGTCAGCTAGAGACGTAACGAACCACAGAAGAAGAAGAGCATCTCTATCCTCTATGTAATGAACAGACAAAGAGAAAAAGAAAAGACAAAACAAAACAACCTGTGTCCTTCCTTCCTGTCGTCCTGTCCTGTCCTGTCCTATGTCCTGTTGGCTGTGGTGGTGAGGTGTGAGTGTGACATCAATTTTTGGTGTGATGTCGACTCGTTTCCGTTTGTAATTTGTATGTATAATCAAATTACATTAGAATTGGGGTACTACACTAACCTACGTGTCCAATCACAGTTTCTCTGCGTCAATAAGTATCTTTTCCTTTGATACAAATTTGTTAATGCCTAACTAGCAGTATCGAAGATGTAACTTGGGAAGCTATCCTACTAGACCTACAGTATGGAATGTGGAGCCATGTAACCAGTGGACCTAGGCCTAACTTATTTAACTTACGTAAGTAACACATTGTGGGCCCTTTTGCTTGTTTTGTACATAAGGACACAGAAAACATACTACTATTACAATGTTCAGTAGTGTTTTTAGTAGTAACTTATGTTTTCTGTGATAACGAACAAGTTGAACTTAAATATAGTTTGCAGACTAGGCCTAGGCCTAACAGAGTAATAAGGGAGGGGGCAACACTAATAGTGCAATATTTCGGTCACTTATGATAGTAGCGTATCCAATTAGCTTAAGTAGGCTAAATTGGGATAACTTAGGATGTACCGGTAGGCTAATTGGCTGCACTTTACTTGGCGTCCTACACTCATTCGAATGAAAATATCGATCGATATATTGATTAATCGATTGCTTGTTCGATATATCGTTTGGTTAGTTAGGTAAGGTTAACCTAACCTAACTAACCAAACGATATATCGAATGAAAATATCGAATCGAAAAAAACAATCGAATGAGTGTAGGACGTCAAGTAAAGTGTAGCTGGCTAATTTGATGTCTAGCCTACTTAGTTTTTTTCACGATTAGGCCTAGGCCTAATCAAAAAATGTAATCAGTTTTTGTCGGAGAGATTCCTAAGTAGATGTACAATTAAATAATTAATATCAAGCTTCAGTTTCGTTGAGTTATTTCTTACAAGAATTCAATTTTATTAAAACCAACGGACTTTGACATCGTTTAGAAAACAGTAACTCATCTGCGATACATAAACGATTACATCAACATTCATTAAAATAAGTTTATTAAAAAATAAAATTAATAGAGAGTGTTAGGTCTCTATTAACCTTAGAAGTTAATAGAGACTATACCACTGCCACTTCAATAACAACATGATCGTCTCCTCATTTTAACCTTCAACGTCTGTTAAGTAAAGTGCCATAGTGCATAATCCCATAAGTTAAACTTAGTGCATAATTTCACAGTGCATACATTAATCCCATAGTGCATAATATCTAGGCGCACAATCCCACAGTGCTTTAAAGTGAAAACGTGCCTTAGTGCATAATTTCATCAGCAATAAACTAATAAAATTCTATTAGGGCCTACATGTATATTAAGGACACCCCAACAATAAGAGATTCCATGCTTGGTAACAATATTTTTTCTAGCCCTGCAAGCATTTAATAAATTGTTATTTTGTTATGTTTAAGTCACTATTTCAATAGCACAAAACAGTCTGTATGTAATATAAATTATCAACTCTGTTCACTTTAACCTAAACTTTACCTTCCTAATCTAATCTAACTTCAAAACACTTAACCCTCTGAGTGTTAAGCGTCGCGTACAGTAGGCTAATCGACGCACAACACACCTGCCGTGGTGTTACCGGTATGCGTCGCTTTTGCGACACACAAACATCGTTTACGGCAAAGGCTCTGGGACTGACTGAATCAGATTGAACTGGATCGAGATTGGTATCGTTGTTTTCGGCAGATTCTAAGCTTTCTCCTGATGTCTGTTTCTAGACGCTTTTCATTTTAGTTCCGAAAATAATGTAGCAGACAGATGACGTGCAAAACTGCATTAAGTCCTTTGAAGGTTTGAAGGTAAGGGGTGATTTGATAAGGTAAAGTTAAGGTTATAATGAATCGAGTTGTTAGTTAGGTTAAATGTTACCTACAGTCTGTTTTTGTACAATTAAATCCCTGAGAGAGAGAAAAACACCTAAAGTACGATAAGTATGTAAGTACGAATATAGTACTTTACGGCTCATTATAACCTAAACTTTACCTTCCTCATATAACCTACTACAAAACACTTACGGTAATGCAGTCACGAATTCGCAAAAACTCGACCGACCACCCTGACATGCCTAAAAGAACTAGCCTACATGTAATTAGTCAGACAGTATTATCTACCGTAGGCTACCTATATCTCTAAAAAAATGAAGTTAATCAATGATGTTATTCTTCTCATCATCTAACTTTTGTTACTCTCTCCACTTAAGCACGGGTCACACTAGGCTGGCATCAGCGGCGAATTGAAAGAAGCTGTCAGCTTAATGTGACCTCAAAATTTGCAGCTGACACCACCAGCCGGCAAGTATTTGTCAGTGGCTGGCGAAGTCGGACATGTTCAACTTTTGGTTAGCAAGGCAGCAGTGACTTGTAATCACATGATCACTCACACTCGCTGACGCCAGCCAGCAGCGTAGTCTTAGTCCGACCACCTTTAGAAGCGTGCTATCGGCGACTAAAAGATAATTTTCCACTTGGTTTTACACAAAAGTACAACTGTCTAAATGTTTTTTCAATCAGTGGTTTAACTAATTTTAGCAATTCCTTAAATGTATATTCCATGATGGTTGGCCTCTGGATCATTAAAATTAGCACTAATAAGGTTTAAATTACCTGGCTTCTGTCATCGATCCTCGGTAGTTTTATGAAATTACAGCTGTTTCATGCCTATCACTGGCACATCTTCAGGTTTGTTGAACGCCAGCTTCTTTATAAAACATCCCTCGGTGTTGACTTCGTCATGGTTACACAAAAAACATGTAGACATTAACACACACGAAAACACGCACGAAACATTTAAACATTAATTAAAGAATGACTGCGAAACGTGATGCGGCGCCGGTGATGGATAAGTCGCGACAGGTCAGTCGCGATTTTTTTTTTTAGTTGTAAAATTTTGGATAGGCCTACAACTAAGGTTAAAAAATAGAAACAACTTTATAAGGCCTAATGTTTTGTTATTGTTAACTTAAGTTATTACCTTAGCTACAAATGTATCAATTCGATGCTATAGAACCGAATTATTCTAATAGCCTATACTGGGTGAATTTTAAATGAGTTCCCCCCCTACTTTTTTCTACATTTCTTAAGATATCAACTTTGGACCACGTCAGATCATTGTAGTGTAGTAAGTACTTCATTTTGACAGGGTAAACATTTTTGGCCGCCATCTTGGATCCGCCATATTGGATACTACAGTTTTAGGCTAGTATTATACTAGGACGCTGGCGTCCGGGATGCTGGCATCCGAGAGGCTAGCTTCCCACCTCGAGCCGAAAAATGACGTGATTTGTGTTGGGATGCTAGCCTCTCGGAATGCCATTTTATTTCAATGTTCAGTCACTTTTTGTTTATATCTATTTAAATAACATTAGGTTTAACGAGTACCAAGGTTTGATGCTTTAAGGGGGCTAATAAAGCGTGTTTTTTAGTAAAATACTGTATTATTAGCTTAGTATAAAACAAATTGGCCAAGTTTAATCAAAATAAATCCATACACAAGAAAATTCCAACACTTAACAACATTTTCTATAAGAATAACATGGAAATTTTTAATATACTCTTTTTTTATTTTCTCCATAACTAATAACAGTACAAAAACACTTAAATATACTAAATTATTTGTTTTTAAGCTCATTAAAATTGTCTAGAGAGAAATTGTGAATTTTTTAGTTTTATGGGTCAAAAATGACAAACCCCTTTTTTTAGCACATAAAACCCCGTTCCCAAGGTATGTTCATGCTGGTTCGCGAACTCATTCGAATTTATCCCACCCATCACCTTAAAACCAAATTTCTTCAAAATAGAACAAAAGTTACTCCAGTTATCGCGTTTACAGACATATAGGCCTATATATATTATAATATTTAAATCTAAATGGATGGTGTTTTTGGCCTCTGGGGACATCAAAATGATAAAGTAAATCGGTCCCGGGCCTAGGTCTTACCATGCCACCTACGGTAATAACTTCGAGCTTTCGGTGGCTTTTTTTAGCATCCGACGCTAGCATCCATAGTATAATCGCCCCCATTTGATTTAATGCCCTGCTAGCGTCCCGGACGCTGGCCTCTCGGACGCCAGCGTCCTAGTATAATCCTAGCCTTACATTTGAAAAAAAACTTTTGTATCCAATATGGCGGGTCCAAGATGGCGGCCAAAAATGTTTACCCTGTCAAAATGAAGTACTTACTACACTACAATGATCTGACGTAGTCCGAAGTTGATATCTTAAGAAATGTAGAAAAAAGTAGGGGGGGAACCACAGCCACCTCTAATACAAGGCCGCGGCGAGTGAAAGCGGCAACGTCGCATCAGTGTCTTGGTGCGCGGTCGTCTTACCATTACAGTGAATGGAGGAGTCGCGTACCGACGTACATAATCGCGTTTCTACTACTTTTAATCATTATTAATGACATTAAACTTCTTACTACAGCATGCCAGATAGATGTGATGTGCCTGGATGCAAGAATAATTACGATAGCTCAATTAAAAATGAATAATACATACAGTGTTCTAAGATTCTACGTGATCCGCCGCGTTAGTAACAATTGCTTCCTGCTATGCTTCGATCAAATTAGACATCTTAAAACAATTCTCGTTTTTGTGTGAAACATTTTCACGAATATGAAATTAAATTTGTAAAAAAATTTAAGAATAAGACTTTGATTCGTGTAAATATACACGCGAGAAGCGAGTTTTAGGTATGAGCAAGCCGTACTATTTCCTTGTTTATTTGTCTATCTATTGATAAAAGCTGTTGTTAAGTGATTAAATAACTTAAATAACTAGCACTTCGAAGAAATAAACCGGTGTTTCTGTTTAGTAGGCCTACTAGTAAAAAATATGTACTACACTATCTAACAATTAAAGCATCATATTCTCCGACTCCAGTCTGAATGTTGATGTGATGAAACAATTCTATTAATATTGTGGAAAGCCATATGGAGGCCTAGCTTCTGAAATCGTTTACAAAATGAAAAACGTTTTGCTTAGTAATTATTCAAAGAAAATAAATTATTTATAGTCAGCATGCCTTCAAAATGAAAACTTAAAATTTTGTTGTCGCTAACTAATGTTTTTCTCAGGTAGACTAAAACGTAATATTCCTATTGAAAATTGAAAATTAATTTGATTCGAACAAATTGTTATATGTTAGTCTCTACAAATCCCAAAGTCTCTACAAATATTGAAGTGGCAATAAGTTAGTCAGTCCTACTGTATTACCATTACCATTCTTGGTATAGTAGCTTTATTTTGTAAAATTTAAGCACAGTCTGTCTAGTAGTTTTTACTATGTTGAATAACACACATATATACAGACACCATGAGATTTTTATATAATAGTGTAGATTATCAAATTAACAAAGGAAATATGTAAAGTCCATCTATTTCCACATTCATCGTACTTACAATACGATAAATGCAACCAAAAACATTATGTTTGTATATTTTTAGTTTTAGACATATTGTGGTATGTTGCAATTTTTCACTAAATAAACAACCTAGATTCCAATTTTGTCTATTTTACCATACCTTAAAATCTACTAAAATATGTTATTACGAATTTAAATACATTCATTCATTGATACAGAGCAGCAATACTCTCATTGATGTTCATAGCCTAGCGCGTGTGAAGACGGACGCAGAGGGGGGGTGATTGCGGCGTTGCCAGTTCGAACGTCGCGGCCTTGTGTTAGAGGTGGCTGTGGGGGAACTCATTTAAAATTCACCCTGTATAATATATGAAGGTGATTTCTACAAAACACTGCTCCTCTGTTAGTAATGGACGGATTTGTACAGTCGATGTGCCAAAATTAAGTATTTTTGTGTAGACGCCCCCTTTCACCAACTCCTGTAATAAAAGTCCTCGAGCTTTGCCCCACAGGCCATCAAAATCCCAATGTAGGCTATTTCTTATGAAGAAAAGATTTTGTTTAACAGACGAATAATTGTAATTAATTGCATACTAAAACAGCTGTTCATAGTACATTACACACAAGAGCGTTCCATTTCAGTTTCGATAACTGGAGTGGAGTGACTGATTACGTTATCATTGAGTTGAATTTTTTAAGTCATCGAAAATTATGACTGTTATTCGTTTTGAAATAACGCCTTTAATAATCCACTTTGCAACTGCTCAAATTCGAGCAACAGGTGCACTAGTAATCTATATATGTTGATAGGTATTTAATCCGATTATAATATATCGCAGGTTCTCTGGGGAACTGTACCCAATAATTATTCCCGAGAGAGTGAAATGAGGAAAACCATAAGTCAAGTTAGGCCTAGTAATTGTATATCACCAGAAATAAGACATTGAGTTACCCTGAAATAATGTTCTACAAATTTCTTCGTTTAGGCAAAGGCAGAATTCTTATAGTGGCAGAAGCTAAAAACAAAAATTCAAAACATGTCCAAGATAGATCATCAAAATAAACATAAATAATTAACAACAACAACTGATAATTTAATATGGAGAATAGAGTAATTATATATTTTCTAAACTATTTTTTTCACTCCTGTCTTAATTTAACCTTTATTATAGATGTTTTAGAACAAAACGGTCATATTCTTCATAGGCAGTGTTCATTCACTGGGCAAGTCACCCTACTTCTTTTTTACTAATTCAACTCCCTAATCTTTGTTGTTATAAATACAGCTTAAATATGAACAGCTGTTTCATTAAAAAGTAGTAAAAAATTATTCATATGGCCATAATGTAAACAAATCCGGGGAGGGAATTTTTTATAGTCACAGGGGCGGAGCCCAAGGGAATTTCCAAATTTTTTTCTTTTTGATGGCACATCTACAGACCAAGGTCTTTCTTTAGACACCTCTACCAAGCTTCTACGCCCAGCCGTTTTCTCAAATTAGTGGAGACAAAGTTTCCAATTAAATATATAGATTCCCCCATGTTAACCTGATGGGAGAAAACCAGACTTTGATGGAATATCCTTCCAAAACTAATAAAGATTTCAAAAAATGAAAACCCCTGGCAAAACTACAGTTCAGGGACATTTTTTACACTTTAATCATCAAAATCGGTCTAAAAATGAGGTTGGAATTCTGTTCACAAAAATCTGCTTAGCGTAGCCGAGATCGTATTAGTGGGGTTCTACGGTACTGTTATTCATTTTTTGTTGCAAATATTTCTTGAAATGAATCAAATGATTTACTTAAATGTAGATATTCTTATACAATTCATGATCTTTGAGCTTGCAAAACTCAATGTTAACGATTATTTACAATCAATTCCTCATTACACTAATTTATACAAACAACAATGCAACAATACAATTCAGCTGATTGTTAATGAAGTAGGCCTACGTTGGAAGGAGGGCTGCCAACTCATGAGCTTTTCCCCGAACAGTGACTCCCTATGCTTGTAATTTAGATTGTGTTTCATAAAAAAACATGTACTGTATTTAAGCTGATCTACACATCAGCAACAACAGTTATCTCTACTACTGTCCCAGGTCTGACCTAGCCCACCAGCCAGTGACTGCCGGGCTCCTAGATTCTGGTGTAGGCACTAAATGATTCAAAAGCGAAACCTTTTTTTTTCAGTGTTAGGTCTTTATTCTGTGATAGTAAAAAAAAACTGAGTGGTTTTGTTAAATTACAGCCATATCTTGTCTTGTAGGTTGATTCAGCATTTATTTAAGTTATTCATTGACAAAGACCCTTTTTGCCTGCAAGTATATTGGCCAAATAGCATACAATTCAAATCCTAAAGATATAATATAAAATTTACAACAACAATAAAAAATCACAATAGGCCTATTTGTTCAAAGAAATGTGTGAATTAAGTTGTTGATTCTAAATTCAATTAGACCTACCTGGAGTCGTTACATTAGAATAATAACAATAACATTAACTTTCCAAATAATAGCACTTCAATTTTTTTAGGGATGCCTGTTTCAACTGACCTTGTGAGTTATTTGACCTAGGTCCGGTCCCGTTAGGGTCGGTTAAGAGGGGGTCTACTGTAATCATTTTTTTTTTAATAAAGCCATTTGAAATTGTTTTTATCTTGTTTGTAATCTGACGCTGCTTATCTAGTGGTAAATGAATAGAAAAGAATATAACATGAATAGTTTCAGCCGTTGGAACATATTCTCAGTGAAGTGTAATTCAATTCAGTTAGATTTGTTTTGAAATTGTAATTAATTTGGTAATCTTGGGTGATACAAGCACGGCATGGAGTAATGTCTGGAATGTTGATTCTATTAAGCCTGTGTAAGTATAATCATTAGGATTAATAAATAATTAAAAATAGGTAGCTGTTATGTTAAGATTAGTACGTAAATTCATTTATGAAAAGTGTTAAAACTTCTAAACAAAATGGTGAATATTTAGCATAAAAACATTTTTTAGCACAAGCTAAGTTTGGTCACCATGTTCAAGGCCCATTCTACACGAGCGTGAATTTCGGGACAGGACCGTCTCGTGACGGCGGGAAAATGTTGTGCAAACTACATGTAGCAGGATCCCTGTTACATCTAGTCCGCTTGAAACCCGTTGGGGGCCATTCTACTTGAGGCGGTTCAGATGCAGGACACAGTGGAGCTCGGTTTTATGCCTGTAGATCTTCAACTCCAGAAATTTGGACTAGTTATCCTTAATTATTTATTTCCTATATAACTTACTTAAACTTCAATGCATACAAAGTCGCTTTATCTCCAACAAATAATTTGCAATTTTAATTTTATGGAACGAATTATGGTTGTACTATTGTGATTATTCTTTGTATTTACTCTTCAATTACAAATGAATATCTATTGTAATTTATGTTAATAAATTAAATTTACTAAATGTCAAACACATTACTAACTTACTAGTTGACTGATTATTTTTATAGTTTAAACAAAAATACTTGTGACTAAAGGAATATAAAATGTTTGAGAAATGAAAACAAATTTAATGCTACATTCATGATCGAACATCACACCTGATCGTGTTACCCCGCACAACTGGACAGTATTATGTGAAGTTATCTGCTGCTGTGCGCGGTGATACCATTACGTGTAGGATGGCTGAATGGAATTCCCGACACGGGTCTGACACGGATGTCGATGTCAACTCAGCGCCCCTGCCTACCTGCGTCTATTCTCGTCGTGAATCCCGTTCGTGTAGACACCTCAATTTAACTCAATGGTCCCTGTCGATCGTGTGGCACCAAAGGGAAAATCCTGTTGCAGGTTTCCCGGTCGTGTAGAATGGGCCTAGAAAACTTCTCTACAAGGATCAGTAGATATTTTTACCTGGAAAAGGTTCTCTCATTAAAGTTTTGTAACAAGGTATTTTATTCCAGGTTTTATGACCAGTGCTACAAAAAATATAAAAGGAAAATATTAGAAACAACATCATGGCTAGTGGAAAAACGTGGGCCAACATTTGCACAGTATGTGGAAGACATGTAGAAATTCTCAACGGCGATTTTGCATTTTCCATGGAACTGCACAACCAATCACATAAATCACTAGATTATGTCAACAACTCTTTGGACGGAAACCTTAACCGCTCAATTGAAAAGATAGATAATGCTTCAAAACTGAATTTGAACTACTGTCACGATTGTAATGAAAGTTTTGAAATTATCAATAACAACTTCAGTTTATCTTTTCAACGACATGCTGAGAAACACAAAGGAGATAATACAGATGCTTTGTCAGATCATTCATCTACCTCTAGTAAAAAAACTAAGGGATCTCAAGAAGTGACAAAAGAGAAACAACAACCTCAGCCTGTGGTAACAAGTATGTTAGACGCCATCTTCCATACAATGCCTGAAGGTTTGAAGGCCCATCGCAGTTTCATTTCTGAAAAAGGTTGCAGTAAAGCTGTTTGCAACCTTTGTGAAATAATAATTGATCCCATTTTTAGCATGAGTGAACATTTGAAAACAAAGCAACATGAAGACAACACGATCTCAGTAATCAAAAGAATATTTAGTTCAGAGCTACACGAACAAATGGAGTTTATATCTTTTTATGGCTCAAATCTTTGTTGTAATTTATGCCGCTGTAAAATCGATCTCTGCTCTGATAACCTACATAAGACTGCAATGAGTATAGTCATTCACAATGCAGGGAAAGGTCACTCATGTCAAAGAACTAATGATGGCAATAGTACTGATAAAACTTTACTTATCATAAAAAGTCTTGCTCTCATGAACCCTATAATTAATGAAAACCAACATTTTATTGAACACAGCATGCATCCCTACTTCAAGTGTAAACCATGCGAAAAGCAACTTGCATATTGTGAGAATGATAAGGAGATGGCATCAAATTTTATTGCTCACTTTAATTCTTCAGCTCACACCAAACATCTGAGCGCTGTTTTGCTTTTGTCGAAATGGAGTGGTTTGAACATCCCTGGTAAAGAAAATCACAATTTTGCCGTAAAGAAACAAAATATTTACTGTTCAAGCTGCAATTGTAATATTGAAGCAAACCTTGATCAACTTCTGTCTCATGTCAGAATGAATTTTGTCATGCAAGAACCAGCGCAGTCTAATGCTGCTCAAAAGACTATGAATACACCTCATACTCAAACTGATTCGTCACAAAGTAAAATAAATATGAAAACTCAATCAGAAGAGATTATAAACAAGCCATCCTTGGCTCAACAAAATCAAATACCAAAAGTATCAGCCACAGTTAAAAGGTTAGTGATGAGTTTACCTGCTCAGTTTCAAAACATGGTTACAATGAATAAGAAAGGAGAGGCTGTGTGTTCAATCTGCAACTGCACAATTCCACCAACAACTTACAATATGACAACCCATTTTAATGGAAATAGTCACAAAAAGAAAGAAAATGAATCAAAATCGTCTGCTAGTAGGCCTAACAGTAATATAGCTGAGAAACTCAAAGGACTTCGTGGTCAAGAAAAGGTAACAACTAATCCAAACTCTGGCATTGAGTTTTATTCGCCATCCATTTATCATTCACGGTTAGCTGAAAATAAGAAGTACTTTGTTAGGTATAATGGTGAAGACAAGTACATCTGTGTTCTATGTGGGACTATTTTTCAAGAAGATGGAAACCTGCAAAGAAACATTCTGCTACATATTGACAATCAAGATCACTTGAACAAAATCCAGCTTAAACAGGAAATGTGTCAATTGTTACCCAGGCATAGCGACTGTTTGGTGAAGGAACTCTTTGATGTAATCCCCATGACCTTTCAAAAAGATTTGCAATATATCAAGGCACCAGAGGGGATGAATTTTATCTATTGTGAAATCTGCTACATTAGGATTTCAAGACACAAGAACTGTTTAATCGAACATCTTGAAGGTGGTTATCATAAATCATCAGTTGAGAGATTTGGAAAGATTCAACTAAAAAATGTAGTGGGAAAACCTACTATCGACCCAGAAGCTATATTTGAAGATCTTAAGAAGAACCATAAAGAAATCAAGAAAAATAGCAAGTACATATGCAAGACTAATGAGGATTATTTTTGTCAACTATGCAAAGCGGTAATAAAAGCTTCGTTTGACATTAATCTCCTCGAAGTAAACTTTTTGAGCCATTTTAATGGTAAGAAACACCTGAAGAATGTAGCCGGTGAGTTTAGTATGATGCTTGACAAAATGCAGATCGATAGCGAAATAGTGAGAAACAGTAGAAAATTCTTGGAGAAAAGAAATGATACCGTTATCTGTACATTATGCCCCTGTCAAATATCTATGTCTAATGCTGATCGCCTTAGACACAACCTAGAAGTCCATTTATCAGGCTCTGCGCACAAAAATAAGTTGGAATCTAAAGCAAGTATGCCATCTGCGTCTTCCCATCAGAATGCCGCAGCCTTCGATCAGCAATTGAAGAAGTTGGAGGACGTTATTGGAATGCTCTGGAAAGAGGGGAAATTCTGAATCTCGTATAAAAACTAAGTCAAACTCTTCTGGTTGTGTTAATTGCCAGTTATTTTACATGTTGATAAGGTAAACATATTTTGCTAATCACCCAGTACTACTACTGAAGTACTTACTATTCATTAACAATGCAACTAACTATTTAGCAGCGTGTATAAGTTTTGTAAGCTTTGAAAAAGTGTTTATTAGATCACATTTTTGTTTTGCTAGGCAGTAGAGAATACTCTGTTGTAAAATCAATTTTATGAATCAGTCAAATTATTAAGTAGAATATCAACAAATGTACAGAATGAAAATTTATCATATTGCAACATTTACAGAATTGTAACCATCTTTGACCTTCAAATCAAATCGTCACTGACTTTTCTTAGAAACTGCAAACATTTAATTGTTAACTTTAATAACAGTTAGTTGTAAAGTTTGTTGTTTTACAATGTAACTTAACTACCGATTAATACTATGGTACTTTCAAAACATCGGTTTGGAAACTCTTTTAATGTACATAACTTAAACTCTAATAATAGCAAAGATTTTCTTTAGCGATCCTTAATGGTACATAACAAGGAATCATTGTTATTCTAGGAAATTGTGCAACTCCTAATTTTAAACTTGTAAGATTTCTGTCTGGTCAAATTAGTATTGGTTTAAAATTATGCAAATCACATTCTACGGTAATTAGTTTAAGAAAATTATTTTTGTATTCTTTAATGTTACACACACACACATATATATATATATATATATAAATTCATCAAGGATGTATTGTTAGATTTTTCCAATTCAGTGTGTACTCGTAGACATGTAAAATTGGCCAGATTCTTGTGATTTGGAATCTCCTACGCTCAGGCCTGTTGAACAAATAAATAATAAAAAAATATACTGATTTTGCAATGCTTTAGGCCCAATACATCAAATGCAAAATATGAGATACCTACCGGTATGTATAAACTAGACAAAGAGAACAAGGAAAGATACAATTCATTGAAAAAATTACAATGGGGGTTGATGTTGAAATTACTCTATTTTTCCAGGTCCTGTTCTGTGCAACAAACTAAGCTTAATTAAAGTATCACCATGGCAAGTTGTTCATCTTGGGTTAATAGCTGTCCAGAGTGCGGTAAGCAAATAGAAGTACTGAATGGCGACTTTGAATTTTCCATGAATTTACACAAACAATCACATATATCTCTTGAAGCAATCAATAGAAGTTTGGAGTGCCTTGAAGAAAACAAGTATAATACCTCATTACCAAAATCAAAACGTTGCGACCAATGTAATAAGGACATCGAAATAATAAATAATGACATTATTTTATCATTTCAACTACATGCTCAAAACCACAAAATTCTAAAAAATTCAAATATTGAGAAGGATAATTCTAAAGAACCAAAAGGAAGGAAGGAGATTAGTTTTATCATCAAAAACATCTTTCATACTATGCCAAGTTTGCAAGCTCATGAAAGTTTCATATCAGAAAAGGATTGCAAAGCTTTTTGTAATCCCTGTGGATTAACTATTGAACCAGTAGGTGTGTTATCTGTTGCACTACACCTAAAAACTAAATTACATGAAGACAACACTATTTTTGTTATCAAGACTTTAATACCATCCGAGTTACAAGATCAAATGAATTTTATCTCTTTTTACGACTCCACTCTTGTTTGCAATCTGTGCAGTTGCAAAATAAATCTATATTCAAATAACCTTCATAAAACAGTAGTTGAAATTGTTGCACATAATGCTAGCCAAACCCATGCAAGGATTAAGAGTAATATCGGGCAGGCCAACAAGGCTCTAGTTATTCTACAAACTCTTGCACTGACTGATCCTCTCGTAAAAGAAAATATGAATATAATTGAATCTAAAATGAGTCCTCACTATTTGTGTAAACTGTGTGACAAAGCAATTTTGTACAGTGAAAATAACGTTGAACTATTGGACTGTTTTAAATCCCATTTAAACTCCCCTTGTCACAAACGGGCTTTGGAAGCTGTTAGTCTTTTGAAACAATGGAATGCTTTGAATATTGATGGGAATAAAAAGCACAAGTTTGTAGTAGCAGGACAAACTATTCATTGTTTATCTTGTTCTGTGACTGTTGAGTCAAATATAGATAATTTGCATTCCCATGTTTTAACTAAGTCAGTGTTGTGTGAAGAAAGCCAATTTGACCCAGAGAATGTAAAACCATCAAATCTATCAAGTAGGCCTACACAGATAAATCTCAGGCTGGAGGAGAATCAAAAGGGACCACTAATACATGGCCACAACCATTTTAACAAACGCATTTACAATGTCAAAGATGTAATTTATAATACGGTTCTTAAAACAAATGTGTCTATTCTGTGGAGTGTTAAATATTTTGAAAGTCTTAATGACGGGTACAAATGCAAACTTTGTAATATTGAAGGGAAATTTGGAAAACTACCCTTAATAGAGGTGTTTGAGAAAAATATTACAGTCCACATCAACGGTAAAAAACATCAGAAACAACTATTGAATGAGATTGAAAAAATTCTGAAAATAGGACAACTTTCCAGCAAATACATCCAAGCTAATCACATGTTTTTGACAGCACAAAGTGGAAATGCTTTTTGTGCTTTGTGTACATGTATGATACCTCTAACAGATAGTGATGATACTTCTATTCAAAATGTAATCACACATCTTAAAGGTGCTGAACATAGTAAAAGAAGAGGATTGTCAGGTGATGGTCAGATTACTTTTCTGCAAAGTATCACCAAAGTGTCCAGTAAAACAATTGAGAGCAAAAGTGCATCATCAGTTGGTTCAGTTGACAAACAAATTACTGATCTGCTAAGTACTACCAAAGTGCCCAGTAAAACAATTGAGAGCAAAAGTGCATTATCAGTTGGTTCAGTTGACAAACAAATTACTGATCTGCCAAGTACTAACAAAGTGCCCAGTAAACAAATTGAGAGCAAAAGTGCATTATCAGTTGGTTCAGTTGACAAACAAATTACTGATCTGCTAAGTACTACCAAAGTGCCCAGTAAAACAATTGAGAGCAAAAGTGCATTATCAGTTGGTTTACTTGACAAACAAATTACTGATCTGCTAAGTACTACCAAAGTGCCCAGTAAAACTATTGAGAGCAAAAGTGCATTATCAGTTGGTTTACTTGACAAACAAATTACTGATCTGCCAAGTACTACCAAAGTGCCCAGTAAAACAATTGAGAGAAAACGTGCATTATCAGTTGGTTCAGTTGACAAACAAATTACTGATCTGCTAAGTACTACCAAAGTGACCAGTCAAACAATTAAGAGCAAACGTGCATTATCAGTTGGTTCAGTTGACAAACAAATTACTGGTCTGTTAAGTACTACCAAAGTGCCCAGTCAAACAACTGAGGGCGAAATTGCATCATCTCTTGGTCCAGCTGATCTGAAAATAATTGCCAAAGAAGAATTAAATCAGCTCCCACCAACATTAGCAGTGGACTTTGTGTTTTTGATGATTACCCTATCACTGGTTATCTATATTGTAGGCCAACTGTAAACTTTGTTACTCTACCATCCATACCAAGTTTTTTTAAACACCTTTTGAAGACTTGCACAAAAAAACCAACAGCTTAGGGGTAGTTAACTCCTTTTAGTATCTGACGTTGTTATTAATGACAGAAATATTTAAGCGTTTGTAATAAATACTGCTTAGACCTACAACAATTTTTTATTATATTAGGCCTATCTGCTATTATAATGACTGATTATTTGTGTTTATCAATGTATAGCCTACTATCCAACAAGGGCTTTCAAAAGTGCCTTACATGCTCGTTTTATATAATTATCATTGCACCAATCCTAAATATATTTTGTAAGGTAAGAAAGACCTATGTTAAAATACAAAATCCAACAGGCCTAAGTATTTAAGAGAAAGGCAAATCAATTAATGTTGTGAATGAATACTACTGTTATCTGGTTCTTCCATGTGGTTAAAAGAAAATAAAACCTATAATGATTTGTATTTTGGAAAACATTGCCTTTGGGATGTCTGAATTCAATCATCATTTTAAAATAATGGTAATATTGTATTTGTAAATATGACTCTTACTTTATTTTATTTTTACTTAAGTTAGTGGTATTGTAATTTCATCTAACTTTCAAATCATATATTTTTTGTCCCAGTACTTCATGTATATTATTTGGTATTGGTATTTGTGATTTACATAAAGGCGGCTCCAGGTATGCGCCATTCGCCAAGCACTGAGTAGCAACTTTCCAAATCGCGAGTAGTGTGGATAAGTGTTTGTCTATTTGGCAAGCAGCAAACATTCTTGCTCGTGTTTTCCCATTCATTATCGGTATTTTTGCACACATCAAAGTGAATGAATATTTGCTATTCCTAAAACAAATAAAAAAACTTAACAGTTGCTCGGGAAACAACACGTGTTTCGTTAATCGACGAATAGAAAGACAACTAGATCACCGAACATCAAATAATTTGTGCTTGGAGAATGGCGCATGTCTGGAGCTACCTTAACAAGGTTGTTTTTTAGCAATATTTTATTGAATTTACATCCGTCACAATTGTTAACTCACTTCTTTCAATTTGATGTTATGTTTTACAATTTGGGTGTTGGTTTTATATGTTTTACTATTGAAAATAAAGTGTTGGACATTGATCATGTGTCTTTATAAAAACCAGTTAACAACAGTACTTGTACAATCTTATCTGTATATAAAAGTTAGTTAGGAACACAAACTTTGAGCAAACCGTTAGGTGCACACCTATCAAGAATTGAATGATAAGTCTTGATGAGAACTTTCCTGGAAACGATAAACCATATCCTAAGAGCACAAACCTAATCAAAGGCTTGTATTTAAACACATTTAAAATAGTTAATATGCAACTTCTGTTAAATCTGTTTTTGTTTTTAATTGATTGTTAACTTTTTTCCTTTGTTATAGATTCTTATTACAGATTTTGAGATTTTTCTATTTTTACATTACGATTAAAGTTATACGTTTTGATTCTGGCACACAACTGATTGCAAATACATAAACCAAAGAGACCTTTTGTTAAAATAAGCAATAAGTATGATTGAGTTTTTCCCTGAAATAATATAAATAATAGTGAGTGTACAACTGTTTTTTATAGTATATTTAAAGTCTGTGTTGGACATTTCCTACATCAAGTGTTTTGACTATACTATGTTTTGTTAGGTAAGGAAACTCTCCCATTTTCAAGTGTCAAACTATTATCTACATTTATTTACCTGACTAACCTAACATACCTAATGTTTTTTTTTCATAAATTTACATTTTTACATTTTTTTTTATAAACATTTTTTACATTACAAAACCTAAAAACAATTCACAAAACCACAATTGAATGGAAACTTAACACAACCAAACACACAATAGAAACTACAATTAGTACAAAAATATACTTATCAGTCCAATGCCTCCAATCTGATCTGAAAAGAAAACCACAACACACTCAGGGACACCACCATTCTAGCACATCCCACAAACTAAACTAACTAATATGAAGTTAACAATAGTTATAGTCAGTTGAAAACAGGAGGGAGTATCCTTACCTCCCGAAACGTATCTTTGGCAAAACACTTAGCGTAGGAAAATTGTATAAATTAAAATTAAATTCATTTAAAAAGCCCCATTATTCTCTTTTGTATTGTCATTTTGTTGCAAAGCACTGGCAGAGCAACTGGTTTATTTTGCATACAAACTGTAATGAGTGTATTGGTAACTAATGTAATAGCTGCTTTTTTAAAAAAACTGGCCAGTTTTTCTTATAGATTCGTTGTGCAAGGTTGTATCAAGGATTTGTGCCAACTATTCTTTGACACAAAATAAATAACCCAGAACTCAACAAACAATAGATTTTGCATTGAATCTGATAGTGTCTACACCAGAATCTAGGGGCACTGCTGTTGCTGGCTGGTGAGTTAGGCCATAAGTGTGCACACATTGTTGCCTTCAGCTTATCGACACACACACATATGAATGGATGCTGTTTTTGGTCTCTTGGAACGTCACAACAAAAAAGTAACTAAAATCGGTCCTGGGTCTAGGTCGAGACCTACGGTAATGTCTTATTCCCTATTTGAAAATTGGCTATAAAGGATTTTACAATCATACAGTAACACAGTCATGGTTCCTTTGATAAGTTCAAACATTACTCCCTTAGTAGATTTCTCATCCTTATGGATCAGCTGAAGACAATTTTATTGTTAGTTCTGTCCGGTGCACTGTAGTGATTGTGTTTTGTTTACAATTTGTTTCTTGTTATTTAAGTAATTTAGAACCTCATTTAACCTAATAAATTGGTCTAATCATAAAAACTTGTTTCCTCGTTACATAACAGCTTGGTAATATAAATGCTTTGTCAAGCACAAATAATAAAACTAACCCTAAAATAATAGATACAAAATTTCTTTGAAACTAACGAGCTTCAAAATTTACCATGGGGTGAGAAATCTACTACACAGCTCTTAATATCACACACAATATGATTATGAAAGTTTACAGAGTTGTAGAGAACCTATTTTACAAACAATAATACTGTGATATGTCTGAGAAGCCAAGCGATTATGGTGATCACCCTAAAATGTGAAAATTACTGGTTTGATTATGAACATGGATGTTTGGTCTTTGGACTAAATTAATTATATCATTTGACAAAAGGTTGACGTTACAGTACTAAGAAAAGGGCTTGGACCTTAACACTTACAGTTATGTAAAAACTCCACTGAAACAAATTTTGCCTGGATTAACATTTTTATTAAGTTCTACTTAATAATGAGGACCTTGATAGGATGGGCACCTCTGAGTTGGCTTAGACTTTCAGTTAATTTTTTTGTATGGTCCTCTAATGACACTCAAAACAAGATACTTAGGCAGGCAACCAGCACAAACAACAAAATATACATTAAGATAATACTGGATACATCACTATTAGATATTTATTAAAAATTCTACATCCTCTAATATATATAGTGTTCCTCAGACTGCTTTAGAGAACTTGTAGGGAAATTATAATTCTACCTTAAAACTAAAAAAAAAAACTAAAAAACAAAAAACTAAATTAGTGAGTCGGTGGCTCAGTCGGTAGCGTCGCGGACTTCGGGCCCAAGGCAGCGATGTCGTGGGTTCGGATCCTGGTCACTGCCGATAACATTTTATCAGTACAGTTCAGCTTTGTACTGTACTGGCTCACTCCTTGCTTTGCTGTTAACGATCCACGCACGGGCGCTTAGTCTATGTGGACGGGCAAATGCAAGGTTAAAAGAGGCCGCCAACCTCTTAAAAAAAAAAAACGTAAATTTGCAAAACAGTTATTTGTTTACTAAAAAAAAGGCCAATTACTGTTGATACAGAGGGATATGCAATTGTCTTCAACCTAGATTGAGTGTTAGGACGGGTACATTTTCAAAGACACCCCTACAACGTAAGCCCATAGTATAAATCTCACTTTGAGGAAGCTGCTTGTTCTGTTGGGTTTGCCCTGAAACACCTGGTCAAAAGGGACTAGTCTCTGCTCCATCAGGTTAACCGGTTCCTTTTCCGGTCTGTACTCTACCATGTTTCAAGGACTACTGTTTTTACTGGTATTCATAAAAAATAAATTCACCCTTGCAATAGCTCGATCAATTAAATCTACCCCTTAGGGTAAACTATTGATCACCATGCTAGTGCAAAACACAGTGCACTTATGCCCTATAATCAGCATAGGTGTACAGTGTGTAGATTCACACAGTTGAGAAGGTCTGCATAAAGTTTAAACATAGAACTTGGACCACCAACAGCTACAGTAAATAATATGGTAATTAATTACCATCCAACACATGCTTTAGGAATCTACTACAACTCAACTGACAGAGTCAACTTTTTCCATGTTGACTACTTGAATAGCAGCTATTGGCCAAGTGTGGTGAGTACAGTGGGGTAGTTTACGAGCTGCAAATAAATTTTGGCTAAGTAGCTTGTAATCTTGCTCTGTGCAATCGGGCCTTTAGTGTCCCGATAAACAGTAATCAAAAAAATAATGCAACATCAAAGAACAACTACTTAACAAAATGAACCAGTCCAAATTAACAACATCGCCTTAAGCATAAATGTCTAACATCTACAACACTAACCGAAAAGAAGAAGAAAGTGCAAAAAGAACCTTTGGAATGATGTACTGTAGATTCAAAACTTTTAAAGCAGTGACATAAGTAACCTTTGAAAGAGAGACTCACATTTTAAGGCTAATTCTCTTAAGTGATTTCCTTTGACAAATCAGTCTCCTATGCCTCTTCAAATGACGCTTCATACAGTATATGGAATGGTAGTAACCCATGGAAAGGAGCCTCCAATTCTAACTTGAGTTTTTATTTAGGTTAAGTTAAACAAATACTGGCCTTCCAGAGCTGTCACTACAAAATAATCCAAAAAAAACTCACCGTCACACCAATAACTTAAAACTCTCAATGTTACATCCCTCTAAATCATTTCATGTAGTCTCAAGTCACCAGCTAAGAACCCAAAGCCTGCACTTACATCACACCAGAAAACCAACTAATTTTGCCTTCTCAAACATCGTAAAAACGAGTGGTTTCCTTAATTGTCTTCTCAAAGACAAGTGTGATAGTAAAAAATTCAACGTTAGATAGTAACAAGACCAGGGTTTCAAACCCGTTCCCTAGAAAAATAGTCACAATCTGTCAGACAGTGTTGGTCAAGGATAAAAACTTCAAGTAAAAAACCTTAAAAAAGTCTGTAACATTAGTAGTCTAAATATACACACAAACAAGATGTGAAAAACATATTATCAAAGCTAAAAAAGAAATTTGCAAGCACTTATGTCTATTCACTTTCTAAAATGTCAATAGTGTTGTTAATTATTTTTATATATTTAATGTTTTGTTTACAGTGGTATGGAAAAAATTATTCTACATGAGTCGCCACGTCATAAATATGGCAAGAAGAGAAATGAATAACAAATAGTTAAAAGCTTGTGACAAACAGGTAAACAAGATTTTATCAAAGTAGCCTACCTAGTATAAATGTTTAAAAAAGTTCATACATGAGGGGTATGGACATTCAAACATTAAACATAATGTTTAAGGTTTAATGTTAAACATTAAAAACTAAATGTTTGCCATCGAAATATGGTGTTTTTTTTTTGTTTTTTTTTAGTTTTCTGTTTAATACATTTTCTGCACCACCGACTTTGGAAACTGCAAGTACTGTAGACTGCTCAACATTTTGTAAAATCTAAAGACAAATTTTAGGTCCACTCAACCTTTATTTATCTAGCTTACACCTTAGCATGTGTATTGTCAGTGGCAGCTCCCTGAAGGAGTCTTGGGGGATGCATTACCATAGACAAAAAAATTAAAAATAGACTGTCAGCTGTGCTGTGTGGTTACCATAGGTTCAGGCACACTCCACTGGTTAGTGCCATGTAGTTACGTCGTACGCGCTACGTTAACTACACGGTGTGCGCCAAAACCTATGGTAACCATGGTATCCGCAGCACAGCTGACAGTCTATATTTAATTTTTTTGTCTATGGCACTACCTAGCAGTTCGAGTTTCATCTTTGATCATTAGAGAAGTTTACATACCATTCCCATGCTGTTGTCAGTTTTATCATGAAGTTAATGGGGTTCAATTGACCCACCAACTGAGTTGTGTTGAAATAAATTACTGATTTTGGTTGAATGTTGAATAAGCAAACTTTTTAACCAAACCAACCTGAGAGAGCAATTTACTGTTCAATACTGTTGTTCAATACTGTTCAATGAAATGGCGACCATACATCCTGTAAACTGTTGTATCTTTTATGTTACGCCAGTCATCCCAGTGTCTGTTCGTTTAACTATTTTAAATTTCAAAAAAATTGGCTGTTCTAGTTTGATTATTTGAAAAATATGGACAGGTGGTCCATGTAGGTGAAGTATCTACTTAAGTATGAGAAAGTCAATGGTATTGAACAATAAAATTCGTCCCCTCCCTATTTAAGTAATTTATTAACATTTCATAATAAAAAGATCAACATTGGACTAAATATTAAAACTACTGTAGTTTTAAAATAAAATATAAGTCTAACTTTGATCTAACAAATCTTAAGGGACTGAACTGAATAAAAGTTATCAAGGATTTTGTTAAAACAAGATTCTTTACATTAGGTTTGCACTGTTAGCAGGAATTTCGCTTAGTCCAGGTACACAATGGCGGTCAATATAGGAGCTCATTAAAACACAATTAAGTAGAATAGGCAACCGGGTTGTTAAGTAGAACCTGAGTAACAGGAGGGAAGGAGACCAGGATGGTGAAAACAATGTTTAGTCCAACACGGTGTAAAAAATATGACAAACCCATTAGCAATGTGACTTTTTAGTACCATTAGTACCTTACCAAAATTTATTGTTAGTACCAGTACTTGTGCTAAGAACTAGAGTTTATCAGAATTGCATACAGGTTCTAAAACATTTTTAGTTTGTACGAATACAGTTTTAAAATTGTTTTTCAGTTCACAGGTGGGAGGGGGGAGGGCAGCACTTTACTTGGACTAAAACAGTCATTCTATCCGACCAATTTGAGAAAACTGCTTGTCTTAAACCATAGATAAAACATACTCCCCTAGTAGATTTGTCATCCTTATGGAACAGCTGAAACCAATTTTATTGTTAGCTCTGTACGACGCCGCACTGTAGAGGTCATGTTTTGTTTACATTTTGTTTCTTGTTATTTTAGTTATTTAAAACCGCGTTAAAATAAATAAAACAATATAATCATAAACAATAACTGCTCTCCTAGTTATATAACCAAACAGTAGAGCACAAATCATGAAAATAACCCTAAAATAATAGAAACAAAATTTTGTCTCCACCAGCGATCAGTTTTGACGTACATGAACTAGACACGAAAATCAAACTTCAAAATGTACAATGGGCTGAGAAGTCTACTTGTGTTGCTTAGTCTATGCTTAAACTTACTAAGTTTTTAACAAGCGAAAAGCGATAAAAGGTGATGAACGTATTGTAATTTACAGAAAAAATTCCTACTGAGTAATTTAGGTTAGTATAGCTAAAACATAGATTATCTAGCTGGGTTGAGATAAATTTAGATTACAATTCCTCAACATTAAATAAAACACTCTCCAAGACTTACTAGTATCACCCGTGACAGCAGAGGAACATGTCTAATAGTGAGTCTCGGGGTATTTAACTTTTGAATTACTTTTACTCTTACTCCCATGGCTATTTCTACTCCAAGTGGTACTTGGCCTCAACAACACACTGCCTCCATGTCGTCCTGTCTTTTGCAGTATCTTCATTGACTTCCATTCTGGCCATATCCTTCTTTACTTCATCCGTCCAGTGTTTCTTCTGTCTCCCTCGTGGGCTTCTCCCCATTTTCCATATTGAATATCTCTTTTCTCTTTTCCATATTTGATATTATGTGCTTGTTTCCTCTCTTCTAATGATGTGGCCCATCCAGCGGAGCCTCCTGCTTTTAGCTCTTAATTATATCAGGCTCCTTGAACCGGTCACTTATCCTGAATATGTTTAATTCTTCATATATCTCCTTCTTTAGTAGGGCCAAAGATTTTGCGCAGGACTTTGCAAAAGTAATAAGATTTTTATCTGTGTTTTTATCCATTACGTAGGTTTCAGCTCCATAAAGAAGAACAGGTCTTATGATAGATTTGTAGATTTTAAGTTTAGTATGATGAGACAATAATTTTGATGATAATAATTTGTTTAGAGCATACGTACTTCTACTGGCTAGGTTTATTCGGTTCTTTATTTCTACCGTGTTCTTCACTTTGTGAGCTGACTATAACTCCTCCTGGTCCTCCAGGTTGGGGGTTGAGCGTTGGGCCGACAACCCACCTTGTAAAAAAATGCTGTTTACGAATCACCAACTTACACCCTCAGATCAGGATAGAACTTCTGAATTAACAACAATAATTCATGTAGAGATCAGCGTAATGTCCTAATGTCTGCGGTTCAGTTATAGTTCTGTAAAGATTCATTTATATAGAACAAAATGATAGTCACCGTTGGCCACTGACTGGCAGAGCCTATCGGGTCGAAGATAAGCCGGCAAAATTTACTGTAAAAAATTATCATTAAATTGTATAAATTGTATATATTCCCTGTGACGATCTGAGGAATCATGGTCTTTACTACCCAGTTCGGTTGTGCAGGTGCCGTGTTTGTGATGTTATGAGTCCTGTTGTTGATAATTATAGACTCAGGTGCTCCGTAGCGGAGTAACATCACTTAAGTTACTTGGCAACCCATTAGGCCAATTTTAAATCTTTAAATTTTCAAAGGAGTTGTGTAGCGAAATACAAATTTTCCTGAGGTAAAGCTGTCACCAATCACGTTTTCAAGGCTATAATTCCCTAATTCCAAAATTTAGTCAAAATCCTTCCACTGGAGTACGAGATATATTACAGACAGACAGACAAACAGAAATAGCTCGTATTAGAATATAGGATATTAAATACTACAATCTCTTAAATGAAATTCTGTAATTCAATTTCTAAGTATAGGGATGTTTTATAGTAACAAATAAGCAGAGTATAAGATCAATGCTCAAATGACTAGTGACTGGAGGATAGCCAGTGAAATAACCTCTTTTTAGCGAGTATTGACCAGTCATCAGATGGAGGGTTAAAGCATTGACTACATAACACTATATAGTCATTGACTAATCATACTCTAATTGACTACATAACACTATATAGTCATATTATGATATGACTTCCCATAAGTCACTAGTGTTATATAGTCAATGGTTAAAGTTATAATCTAATGTTAACTATTGTTCAATGTATGTGTAGGCTAGTATATGTTTGTCTTGATTGGTTTACCCTTTGTGATTTGTTTGGATAATGTCATTAGGCTGAATAAAGTTTTAATCGTAGAATTTTACGGCATCTAGACTAGACAGCAAATGTATTCACAGGGGATTGAGAATTTTAAACAATGTTTAAACATACCCCCAAAGCTTTTATGAAATTTTGAAAATAATCTCAATGTTAATTTCAGGCCATTAATTGAAGACCATTGGAATCTGGAAGAGAAAGAAGTTGCCATGGCCAAGGCAAATCTTACAAAAATGATTGCAGTCTGTCCAGAATGTGAGGAACTAGTGCAGATTCTCAATAACAACTTTGAATACTCTATGAAACTTCACAAGAAATCACATCCAACTATAAAAGTGGAGATGCCTTTGAAATTTGAAAAGATTGGTAATGACAGTTATGAAAAAATTGATGTGGCAAGCAATGATGCAATTTATACCCTTCAGCCACTTGTTCAAAAGCAACAGTGTGAGGTAGATAACATATCACACTCCCCTTTCTCAACTGTTGGTTATTTGTGTGGAAATCAACCTGGAACAATTGTAAGAAAACCTTCATTAATCAATTTACTAGAGGCTATTCTTCCCTCAATGCCTGATTGTGTGAAAGTCCATATAAACTTTTTTTCTGAAACGGAGTACTCTAGGGCCATATGTAGTGTATGCAAAATTACAATTGACCCGATTTCTTACATTCCACACCACATAAAAACTAAGTTGCACGAAGATAACATCATCAATACACTCAAGACCCTGTTGCCCTTGAAGTCAAAGGATCAGATGAAATTTGTCTCATTTTATAATTCAAATCTCTATTGCAATTTATGTGAATGTAAAATAATTCTTTGCTCAAGTGATCTACACCAGTCTGTCAACAATATTTTCACTCATAACGCTGAACAGAGCCACTCTAATCATGAGTCAGGTGGCCACAACCCGAGCCAAAGTTGTTGCGACCCAGCAACACAGGATCATGTGCACTTACTTGGTCCTAATATTTCAGAAGCGGTAAGGACGAAAAAAACAGCCTTTGAGAATTTCTCAAAAACTAACATGACCATGAAGAGTAGGGCTGAGCTTTTAGAAAACTCTAAGAGTGAGTTAAAAAATCTCTTCAGCCTTTACCCTTACAAAGAGGATACAACGAATAACACAAGGAATACAAAACCCATGGAAAAATTACAAGAGGACAACATGCAAAATCACACGTTGAAGACCAATGAAAAGGATGAAAAATTACCTACAGTATTTGATAACATAACACCATCAGTAAAGGAAGTAAAAAATTTACCAAGCTCTGAAAACCAAGTTCAAACAAAGGAAGCTCCAGCAGAAGAAAATAATGTAAATTCGGTTTATAGAGAATTATTAAAAACCAATGAACTAATTAGATCCAATGATAAATTCATAGAGCAAGAGAAAAATGTCTTTGTTTGTAAGCCCTGTAAAGATATTTTAGTTGCAGAGGTAAAGAATCTAGAAAGAAGACTCATGGACCATATCTTGGGGCTTGAACACAACTTAAATACCAAGCTCATGGCCAAGGTAGATAACTATTATATTTGCAAAACATGTTGCAAAGAAAACAGTAATGAAATGATGACGTTTACAAAATTAAAATCATTAAAAGATCACATCTCAAGTCAAGTACATATAAAAAATATGATACTATTCCTATCATTAGATTCAGCTATAAAAAGTTATACTAGTTCTGTTTATAGAAATTTTTCAAAAACTAATGCAGTGATCGAACTCAATTATAAATATTTTGAGCAAGAGGAAAATGCCTTTGTTTGTAAGCTCTGTGACAACACTCATATAGTGATTGGTAATGTACAGCAGGAACTAGAAGGAAGACTCATGGACCATATCTTGGGACTTAAACACCACGTGAACACAAAGTTACTGGTCAAGGTAGATAACTATTATATTTGCTCAATATGTAGTGTAAACAATACAATACAAATTTGTAAGAAGTTAACAACATTGAACCAAAGAATAATGAATCACACTTCAAGTCAGAAACACATGCAAAACATTGTATTGTTAAACTCCTTACTTAAATCTAAAATAAATAATATCAATGCTGTTTATAAAGAATTGTTAAGAACCAATGCAGTGATCAGACTCAATGATAAATACATAGAGCAAGAGGAAAATGTGTTTGTTTGTAAGCTCTGTAACAACACGCGTATATTGGTTGTGAATGTACAGGAACTAGAACTAAGACTCATGGACCATATGATGGGACTCCAGCACAACTTGAAAACAAAGTTCCTGGCCAAGGAAGGTAATTTTTATATTTGCAAAATATGTTTTGTAAATAATGAAATACCAAATTGCAAGTTAACAAAATTGGAAAGAATGATTATGGATCACACTTCAAGTCAGGAACATATGCAAAACATTGTCTTAATGAATTCGTTAGATCCAGCTGCAATTAATGATGTTTATAGAGAATTATCAAGAACCAATGCAGTGATCAGACTCAATGATAAATACATAGAGCAAGAGGAAAATGTGTTTGTTTGTAAGCTCTGTAACAACACGCGTATAGTGATTGAGAATGTAATAGAACTACAAAGAATACTCATGGACCATGTGATGGGTTTTGAACACAACTTGAACTCAAAGTTCCTGGTCAAGGTAGATAACTATTATTTTTGCACCATATGTAGTGAAAACAATACAATAAAAAGTTCTAAGTTAAAAAATTTGCAAAATAGAATAATGAATCACACTTCAAGTCAGAAACACATGCAAAACTTTGTCTTGTTAAACTCATTAGATCCAGCTGAAATAAGTGATACCAATGCTGTTTATAAAGAATTGCTAAGAACCAATGAAGTGATCAGACTCAATGATAAATACATAGAGCGAGAGGAAAATGTCTTTGTTTGTAAGCTCTGTAACAACTTGCCTATAGTGATTGTGAATGTAAAGGAACTTGAAAGAAGACTTATGAAGCATATCTTAGGACTTAAACACAACTTGAATACCAAGTTTCTGGCCAAGGAAGGTAATTTTTATATTTGCAAAATATGTTTTGTAAATAATGAAATACCAAAATGTAATTTACCAAAATTGGAAAGAAAGATGATGGATCATACTTCAAGTCAGGAACATATGCAAAACATAGTCTTAATGAATTCGTTAGATCCAGCTGCAATTAATGATGTTTATAGAGAATTATCAAGAACCAATGCAGTGATCAGACTCAATGATAAATACATAGAGCAAGAAGAAAATGTGTTTGTTTGTAAGCTCTGTAACAACAGGCGTATATTGGTTGTGAATGTACAGGAACTAGAACTAAGACTCATGAACCATATGATGGGACTCCAGCACAACTTGGAAACAAAGTTCCTGGCCAAGGAAGGTAACTTTTATATTTGCAAAATATGTGTTGTAAACAATAAAATACCAAATTATAAGTTACCTAAATTGGAAAGAAAGATAATTAAACATACTTCAAGTCAGGAACATATGCAAAACATTGTCTTAATGAACTACAACCAATCCAGAACTACAGAAGATCCAGCTACAATTAATGAAGTTTATAGAGAATTATTAAGAAGTAATACAGTGATTAGGCTCAATGAAAAATATATAGAGCAAGAAGGAAGTGTCTTTGTTTGTAAGCTTTGCAACAACACACATATAGTGGTTGAGAATCTAAAAGATCTCGAAGAAAGCATCATAGATCATATCATGACTCTTGAACACGATGAAACACTAACATTTCAAGAAGAGGAAGTAATTGTTAGTTTCCTAGAGAAGACTGAGTTGTCTGATACTGAAATCAGGGAGAATCTTAATTTTTTAAGAACAGAAGATGACATCATTAGGTGTACTCTGTGTGATTTTACAATTCCTTCAAATGGAGAAAATGATGAGATAATTGAAAATTTAGCTGTACATTTGAGAGAATCTGGTCATAATGCAAACAAAAAAGTATCCAATGAATACATTGGAGATACACTTGGAAATACACTTACTGACAATATCAGCCATTGGTTCAATAAACTTCCAACCAAGTACTTGGAGGACATCGAATACATCACATTTAGTCCGTTCAAGCGATTTTTGTCCTGTAAACTTTGTAACTCCACGATTCATCCCCGTTACTTGAAAGAACATCTGGAAGAGTTGGTTCACACTCAAGAAAAAGAACTAAAAAAGAAACCAAACCTCTTGAGTAAATCTACTCATATCGTGACAGACCAAAATGTGCTGAGACATTTGGATACTCTGTCTTCCTTGTTGAAAAAGATACAACTGAAATCTCCATGGCAGAAATAACCTCTTCATTTGATTCATCCCTCACTAAGAACCATTCTGTACATCAAACTCTTCATAAAGTTCCTACTGGATTGTGTCCTGCATTCAAATTAAATAACATACCTAAAAATGAATGAACTTTTACAATGAATAGTTATTCTACATAATAGTCTCACTTTTGTAGACTTGCTGTCATAAACTGATGTCTTTAGAGAATTGTGTGATTGTAATCAATGTGACTAATCTTAAATCTATCAATCAACAACTCCACAGTAAAAAAGCACAAAGCCAGCAAACCAAGGTCAATTGTGCTGTATTCATAATGTTTTTATTGACATTTGAAATAGTCATAATGTTTAAAGTTATACAAATTCAATCACAAAATATTCAAAACCTTTGATTTGTTGTATCTTCTTACGGAACAAAACTGAGAAAAAAAAAATTCTGTAATAATTATTTCAAAAATTGTAATAAGTTTTTGTATCTGAACTAGCTACTAATTTGTCATCTTTTGAGGTAAGAGGATGATGTGTATAGGGCCTGTTGTACAAATTTATTTCAAACAATTATCTTGTAAATAATTTATTTTTTGATCCTACAAAAAATAATTATTGTTACAACAATAATATTGTAATCTTATTTTTATTTGATTGCAATCCTATTGAATACTTTCATAATTAACTATATTAAAATATCACAATCTTCTCAATGAAAAAATTAAAAAAAAAACTTGTGTTCAATTTAGGGTGATAATATATTTATCGATTGCAAATATAACAAATCAGAATTTATATGTACTGGGTATGTGAAATAAAATTGTTGACCAACAAATTATTTGTTTACTTAATTAAAGAAGCTGTAGCTACAAAAAAAGAGAAATGATCCTATATATATATATATGCTATAGGGCCTAATCCAATAGCAAAATAAGAAAAATAGAGGAACAAATCTATGTATTCCCAATGTTTTCAGAAATGTGTCGGAGAAGGTCCTTTAATGAATATATGCTAGATGAGAATTAAATTACCCGGCCGCTCTGGGTGGGGGGGGGGGTTGGTAGGAAGGGTAAACGCCCCAATTTGCGGTTTTTTGCTCGAAACTTGAAAACGATGCGTCCTAGCTTACATTTTTTACGGTAAAAGTTAAAGCTTATTAAATTTGCAATAACTTTGGTCCTGTACATTATCAGTGAAATACGCATAGTTTCAGAGATATCCGCGCTCAAAAATATATTATGTAGGCTAAAAAAAATTTACCTCACATTTGTTGTTAATATCTTATTTTTTCTCCTTACGGTACTTGTTATTTTCTCAGAAATATTGAATGAAAGAAAGTTGTGGAGGGTTAAATTAACTTCAATAATATATCAACATTTACACACAAATAATTGCAAATTCTTGGTTTTAGCGAATTTCCCATATAGGGAATAAGCTATTACCGTAGTACTCATGGTAAGACCTGGACCCGGGACCAATTTTTTTTTTCGTTTTGAGGTCCCTAGAGGCCAAAAATACCATCCGTTCAAATGCATATATATATATATATATATTTATATATATATGTGTCCGTTAGCGCGATAACTCGAGCAAAAATCATCCGATTTTGATGAAATTTGGTACAAACGTGTAAACCTACGTTTATTCGAACGAGTTCGCGAACCAGCATGATCGGAAAATGGGAACGGGGGTTTATGGGGGCTTTTATGGGGCAAAAATGGGTTTTCCCCATTTTTGACCCAAAAAACATAAAATTTTGCAATTTCTTTCAAAACTATTTTATAGAGCTTAAAAAAACAAATAATTTAGTATATTGAAGCGTTATAATGCGCCAAATGATTACAGAGAAAATTCCAAAAAAATTTAAATTTAAAATTCCCATGTTATTCTTATGGAGAATAAGTAAACTGTTGTAGTTTGCTTGTTTATTAACATATTTTGCCCAAATTTGGAAAATGTTTTTATTTCTTACTAACTATTAACATTTTACATAAAAAACACTTTTACCCCCCCTGTTGCAGCAAACCTAAGTATGTGTTAAACTGATTCTATTTAAATAGGGAATAAATGCGATATTTTTAAGGAGACATTTTAGTGTAAATCCAATCAGGCAAATGGAAATTCGCTTAGTCTGCAGGTTTGCTGCGGCGGGGGTATTTTTATCATTGCATGATTTGTGTATGGTTTCTTATAATTTTTTAGGCCAAACATAAATATATTTAAGGTATAAATTGGTAATAGTTATGTAAATAACAATGTGAAAATGATGAGGAAGAAGACAGTGAAAAAGAATAAGATCAATCTTTATCATCATATGAATTTATTTTGCAGGTTTTAATTGTTTTAACTTGGATCATCATAATAAATACATAACTTTTTTTATTTCGTCACATTGTTGAAAAAATCGTGATTTACACAAATGATTGCAAATTCTTGTTTAAAAAAAAATAGGATTGTAACAAAAAATGTGAGGTGAGCAATTTTGTCCGAACATTATACCTTTTTGAAGCTTTAACTTTAATCATAAAACAATGTAGTCTAGGACGAATTGTTTTCAAGTTATGAGGGAAAATCCGCAAATTGGAGCGTTAACCAACTCCCCTCCCCCCACCTAGAGCGGCAGGGTGATTTTATTCTCACCTATCATATATTCATTAGGGGACCTTCCCCGACACATTTCTGAAAAATTGGGAATACATAGGTTAAGGTTTGTTCCTCTATTATTCCTATTGGACTTATTTGCTTGAACTGATAGCTTCAGGTAGTGTTGACATTTTTTTTCTTATTTTACCACTGTAAAAGACTGTAAAACAACCTAACAAATAAATTAGATGGTAATAAAAACTTGGTTCTTTTACAAATAGTGTTAAGAAAATTGTAAATTAAATGAGTTAAATTTAATTTAATGTAGTGTTAAGATACCGTGCTGTTGACTTATAACTATACAATTATGATTGAAAGATGTCTGCAGAAACATTTTCTATCAAAATATAATTATACATTAGTAAATGTAATATTTTCACTTGGATAGAACTGTGATCTTTCCTGGTGTACTTAAAACTAGTCATGGCTCATTTATTGGGGGTCAGATAAGATACATTGACACAGTAGCTGTTATCTGAATTGGTTGATAATGCCCAGATAAACTTGACTGGAAATGATGGTTTCAATGTTATTTGCGTTAAGTTACCAGTAATCACACTTTTGTAATGTTCATGACATCGATTAATCGTTAGGTGATATCAGCATTGTCCAGCTCAGTATGAAGTGTATGTATATTAGACCAAATACTATACTATATACTTGGAAATGGGGACCATATCTGGGGGTATAGAAATAATTTTTATGTAGATTAAAACCCTTAACATTTCATTAGTTTGCTCCCTTTTTTTATTCTACTCAAATACCTCATAAATTCTAAACTCAAAGCTAGCTAGGGGTGTGTGAGACGTCGAGTGGTCAAGTAATTTTGAGTCTGACCCATTAAAAAAATTTAAAGAGTCAAACTTTTAAATGAGTAAACGTGTTAAATGAGTAAGTTTTTGGAAGCATTTCTATTTGTACATCATGGCGAATAAAAACACATTCGTTATTCTATTAACATTTATAAACCCTTAAGAGTCCTTGGAGCCGCGCCACTACAGTCGTATAAGTCGCAGCATAGGAATTGGACCTGAAGGCGCTACACTGAGTTTAGCATTGAGATCTTTCTATATGTGCGTGTTTGAATCCCGTACATGTGCAATTAATACTAAGCTCAATAATATGTGGCTTAGCTGGTGGGAGAGCCCATTCTTAAATAAACTATGTGGAGCGTGGATGGAAGTTGACGGCATTTTTTAGTTTAATAGTGATTACACACAACACCTGTTTTGCTTCTTTAGAACACAGATTACTCAAGTTATTACTCTTTTTATCTACCACCTTTACATCCTAGAAAGCTAGGTTGAAGCCCGGAACTGTTTTACACATTACTTTAGGATAAGGACTCAAGCTATAGTACAACACAATGTATAAGCTATGGCCTTTTGTTTTCTGGTGTTGCCTACTTAATATACCAATCTTACCAAATACTAAGTTCCTTCCCACCTGAAGAGACAGTCAAACTTATTTCTCAAGAATCATTAGTGAAGGTGAATATGAGCTATATACACACTATCATCCTAATAAAAAACCTTACCATTTCCAACAATAAAAATTAATAATATAGTATTGGTCGACCAATTGGTTTATGTGTCACGAAAAACATTACATGCAATTGCTACATTACTGAAGCACTGAAAGGCTCACCTTTGGTTCGTGTAGCAATTTGCACACTGCAACACTTTAGTTTGTAACCTAAAGTTTTTACTCCTGCAAAAGATATAATTTTTTTAATACCAGATAAATTTGACAAATTTACTGCTCAATACCATTGACTATTGGATACTAAAGTAGACATCCTATTTTTTTATTTTATAAAAAAAGAACATAGTTGAAATAGGCCGACGCTACACTATCCCGTTTCGCCAGCCCGGTTAAACAGGACCCGTTTGGCAGGATGATTCGAACGCAAATGGGTTTTAATGGGAGCGGTCACATTTTTGCGGTTGCGGTGCATCGACGGGATCCACTGCATGCTGCTGCGGCATAGCAAGACGACAGGAAGAAAGGCGAAACACATGCAGTTAAGGGGATCCAGGCTTCAGAAAATACATTTTTTTATTTTTTATGTTTATCATTTTTTAAAGATATTTAGTATATAAAATGGGCCTAAAAACTGTTATTTTATTTGTTGTAGCCACTCTATGTACCACAGTACCATTTTATGTATTTTTATGTATCATAAAACGTAACACATTTTTATTTTTGATATAACTCATAAAATAGTTGATCAATTTTGTTCAACTAGGTGTCTTTTTGTAGCTATGTACACTTACTGAAATCCTGGGTATTACTTTGTTTGTAGGATAATTAGTTTTTATTTTATAAAGGTTGAAAAACAAAAAAAAAATTCTTATACTATATTTCAAATAAAAAAAAATTATATTTGTTTCACTATTTGACTTATATTAATAATTATACCCAAAAAGTTTGTAAATACTATCAAGAACATCTGGTAAAAAGTTCAACATGATAGGACAAAAATTGGCTGAGATATATCAAATTTTCTGTTACAAAACACTAAAAACCACAACTTTCGGGGAATCGCGATCGAAGTCCTAGAAAATACTAAGACGCGCGCATGTAGTATCTGGGGAAAATATATTTTTTGTTATGAAAAACGTGTAGGATACCTATAAAACTTATATTTTCTTGTACATAAATAACCAAATAACAATAAAATACTATAAAAAAATAAGTGAATTTTGGCAATTTTTTCACTTTCTGAAGCCTGGATCCCCTTAATTGAGAGCAGCCATACTATCCAGTTGGGCCATGCGTTTATCTCTACTGTTGTCGATATCAACAGTGCTCAGCATGTGATGCTCGTGCTCGTCACTTGAAGTATGTTGTGGTAGAGCAGGAAGGTGTGACAGGGTAATGTCAATGCGGTAAAAACGCATCACACTAAACGGGATAGTGTGGTGCCGGCCTTAGGTACTCACATAGTATAATGCAGTTTAAAACTCTTATTTCTTCTTTAGTTTTTGTTCCTATGATAGTTGAGGATATTAAAGATGCTGTATAGCTTAAAAATTAGTCCTTCCAGTTTGGCTTGGTTGATGTTATTTTTATATTCGACATAAATCTGTTATTTACAT